ACCATTTTAAGGGAATTTTTTATCTCCTCTTTAAAGTTCTCCTTCATCATCATAAAATTATCTTTAAAATCATATTCTTCTCCTGTTTTGGTTTGGCATGATAAAGTCTTTCTGTATCACTGAGTTCTGATGTCCCATGTTGCTTTTTAGGCTTTTTGATACATTTTTCTATTGGTCCCTACACATCTCTTACTCCAGTTGTTCCCAGCAGTGTCTTTGTATGTTATTCCAATCCTTGGTGTGGCTGTCTGTGTCTTTTGAAACTCTTCCTGGTCTGCTCTGTACTGTTGTTCTCTGAGTCTCAGGTAGCCACTGAGTTCTCTCTTGGGCCTGTTCTCTTGGTCCACTCTGTGCAATCACAATTTGTGCTTAATTGTTCCTTTCTTGGTCCTCTGTGTCTAGTAGCAGGCTGTGTTTCAGACTTCCAGTGAGGTTGTGGTGAGGTAATAGGAAGTTTTGGGGTGGAGTGGGACTTGTAGATTTCAGGTTCTGATGGGTGGGATGGGGTATTTGAGCAGCCCACCTGCAGGAACTTTTCCTGATGGCTGACTAGAGAAGCTGACGCAGGTGGGGGAGTCTGCGCCAGTGCAGCCTGGAGGCCTAGACAGGTGGGTGGTAACGAGATCGAGACAAGAAGGTTTCTTTTCAGGTGAAAGCACAACAACCTTTATTTCTCCAGAGCTAAAGCCTTTTATACCTTTACAAAACTTCTGTGGAAAACCACCAGCCAGAAAGAACACAAGCATCCTTGTCAATTACAGACCACAAGGAAGTTCTGCTGTCAGTCAAGGGGAATGAGGGCAGCTACATCACAACAGGAGAAGGGACCCAGGGTTTTTCCCAGGTATGGGGGGACTTGAAAGTGGGGTGTCCAACCATGTGTGCAGACATTCACCTTTTGGTTCTTTCTGTCAGACTGCTAAAATTAATGATTACTACTGTAGAAAACATATACAGATGAACCTTCCTAAATGATATACATCTCTGAAGGAGATCTAAATGAATTTACTAATGAATAAGTGAGGCAGACTTTTTATCGTATGGTTACATCCAATAGAGTTATTGCCTAAAAGTGATACACTGGCTGTTACCAAACACCCCATTTACAGACAAGATTATAGATGATCATCCAAAGATTAATGGCAAGACCTTTTTAATAAAACCTAAACAACTTCAACTTCACAACAGATTGAACATGCTGGAGTTGACCTGGATCTTTCATTGAGCTTTAACCCAGCATTCTATTGTCTTTGGTACTGAAATACACTTTATCCTGTACCAAACATAAACTGTAGATGAAAAGATATCCAAAAACCTTTTGATCTACAGAGATATCCTGCCCACAAAATAGATGAAAGAATGGTTGCACAAAATTTCTAAGAGCAAGTAATCAATATCAGGTTGGATTGAATACCAGATCCACAAAATTGATCCAACCAGAAACTACTTGGGTGAAGAAAAATCACAGACTAGATGGCCTAGTTATCTACAGTAAAACCAAATCCTAATGTACAAAAAAAAAAGAACAAGTGTCTTGCAATGGCATTGTATTACACTTATAGATCAGTGCCTTGCTTTGACATCATCAGAGAAACTTTCAGCAGCAGAAACAAACAAATATAGAAACCAACGACTGGACATGGTAGTGCGAAAAGTAAATCTAAATTTAAAAGAATTGTTTCCTTCACATTTCTTCCTGCAAGCCACAGAAAATAGTATGGAAGATGATGTGCAGTATATTAAAGCCAGGCTGGATGGAGGACAACAAAGAAAAAAGGCCTTCTATATAAACAGGATTGAAACACGAAGAAATCACAGAACCTGGAGCAGCAGGCACAGTTCTTACATGTGTGTTTCTCAGTGGTGATTACATTCCTAAAAGTATAAGTAAACACAGGCTTCGTCCTTAACCCTGAAATAAAATCCAGTTTATAATCACTGACTAATGATAATTGCCTTTCCTCCTAAAAGTCTCAATAAAGAATTTGAATGCCCAAAAGATATGTGAGCAGAAAATTCACTCAACCTAATTCTTGGATGTCCTTGTCTCCCAGTGTTGTGTCAGAGTTTTCCCATTGTCTCTAATTGTTAGCTTGTCATAACATACATATTAACCAATACATACATTATATATATATGTGTATGTATATATATGTAGTACATATGTATAACAAATCTCTCTTTTTAACCTACTGATACTTTGAATATTTATTATAGGTTTCAGGTTAAATTTTATGGGATTCATGAATGTGCAAACGCATGGGACTCATTCTCATTGATTTTCTTTAGATATTTCCTCATGTTTCTAATTTTGACCTAACATAATGCATTAGCTTTTCTTAATCTTAGGATTAATTTTTTACTTTCCCATAGAAAACTATTTGCAGTGAGAGATAGAAGTGGTGGGTAAAATAACATAAAGGGGTTATGGGAAGGAGTATGGAAGAATAAAGGAATAAAGGCAGGAGAAGCCATAATCAGGGATTATTATGTGGGAAAAAATATTTTTAATGAAGGGAAAAAAATAAACCAGTGTTCCATTTCAGTGATTTATAAATTCAATTGTAAAAATTATTTTAACTTCAATTAGGAGTATGTTTGTTTTTTGAGTGTGTTATTATGTGCACATCAGAATGTAGGTGTTCTTGGAAGTCAGAAGAGTGAAACTCTTTCATTAGAGCTATTGTTACAGGACTGCAAGTTGTGGGGAATGGATAGTGAACTCATTTCCTCAGAAAAAGCACACATGAATTTAAATGCAGAGAAACATTTCATCTTCCTCAGTATCCATTATATCTATTTATCATACACTTTTCTCTGTCCTAAATTCTACTCCTCTAACCCCTAGGATGCAATGGTATTCACTTTTCTTGCTCCAAAAATGAGCTTACTAGTTTTACCATCTGATAGCAATATTTAACTCTACTAAAAGATTTCTCTGTTTTCATTTGCATTCAAAGTTCCACATTCACTTCTTTATCAGTAGAATTACTTAGCGTTTATTTTAATTTTGCCAGAATTGACGAATTAAGGAATACATCTCTTGTACACTAATTGTAAAAAATTGAATCTTATAAAATAATTGGCTGTGCGGATCATTATAAATGAAACTGTACAGAAAAGTCGTATACATGACACTGCTGTGCCTCCTCATTAGAAGAAATGATGAGAATTATTAGCCATTCATACAGTTTACATTGTATTGTTTTTTTTAACTTTTTTTTATTGAGAAAAGAAAAGAAAACAAATTTCCTCCTCCTCCCATCCTCCCATTTCCCTCCCCCTCCTCCCACCCTTCTCCCCCTTCCCCCACTCCTCTCCCCCTCCCTCTCCAGCCCAAAGAGCAGTCAGATTTCCCTGCCCTGTGGTAAGTCCTAGGTCCTCCCCCCTCCGTGCATTTCTAGGAAGGTGAACATCCAAACTGGCTAGGCTCCCACAAAGCCAGCACATTAAGTAGAATCAAAACCCCCTGCCATTGTCCTTGGGTTCTCATCAGCCCTCATTGTTGGCCATGCTCAGAGAGTCCAGTTTTATCCCATGCTTTTTCAGTCACAGTTCAGCTGGCCTTGGTGAGCTCCCAATAGATCAGCTCCACTGTCTCAGTGGGTGGGAGCTCCCCTCGTGGTCCCGACTTCTTTGCTCATGTTCTCCCTCCTTCTGCTCCTCCTTGGGACCTTGGGAGCTCAGTCCAGTGCTCCAGTGTGGGTCTCTGTCTCTGTCTCCATCCATCACCAGATGAAGGTTCTTCTTACTTAGCTTCTTTGGGATCACCAAGTGTAGACTCCGTGACCCTTGTTTATGGCTAGAAACCAATTATGAGTTAGTACATCCCATGTTCATCTTTTTGGGTCTGGGATACCTCACTCAGGATAGTGTTTTCTATTCCCATACATTTGCATGCAAAATTTGAGAAGTCATTGTTTTTTAATGCAGCATAGTACTCTAATGTATAGATATTCCACACTTTCTTCATCCATTCTTCCATTGAAGGGCATCTAGGTTGTTTCCAGGTTCTGGCTATTACAAATAATACTGCTATGAACATAGTTGAACAAATGCTCTTGTCATGTGATAGGGCATCTCTTGGGTATATTCCCAGGAGTGGTATTGCTGGGTCCAGGGGTAAGTTGATCCCGAATTTCCTGAGAAACCAAAACACCGATTTCCAAAGTGGTTGCACAAGATTGCATTCCCACCAGCAATGGATGAGTGTTCCCCTTCCTCCACAGCCTCTCCAGCATTGGCTATCATTGGAGTTTTTTATTTTAGCCATTCTGACAGGTGTAAGATAATATCTCAAAGTTGTTTTGATTTGCATTTCCCTGATTGCTAAGGAGGTTGAGCATGACCTTAAGTGTCTTTTGGCCATTTGAACTTCCTCTGCTGAGAATTCTCTGTTCAGTTCAGTGCCCCATTTTTTAATTGGGTTAATTAGCATTTTAAAGTCTAGTTTCCTGAGTTCTCTATATATTTTGGAGATCAGACCTTTGTCTACAGAAACAAGCATAACCAACAGAATACAAGAGATAGAAGAAAGAATCTCAGATTCTGAAGATACCATAGAGAAAATAAACACTCTGATCAAAGAAAACAGCAAGTCCAACAAACTCTCATTACAAAATATTCAGGAAATATGGGACACAATAAAAAGACCAAACCTAAGAATAATAGGAGGAGAAGAAGAAGAAGTGCAGCTCAATGGTCCAGAAAATGTATTTAATAAAATTATAGAAGAAAAGTTTCCCAACCTAAAGAAAGATATACCTGTGAAGGTTCAAGAAGCATACAGAACACCGAATAGGCTGGATCAAAAAATAAACATCCCCTCGCCATATAATTATCAAAACACAAAGCATACAGAATAAGGAAAGAATATTAAGAGCTGCAAAGGAAAAAGGCCAAATTACTTATAAAGGTAAACCTATCAGTTTACATTGTATTGTATTAGGTGGTTCTGAACCAATACGGTAATTGTCAGATACAATTTATGAAATGTGTGTTCAGGAAAATGTTTTCTCCCTTATCTTTTGAAGAGAATTTCTCTCTGGTCTTAACAAAATTATGTAGCACTTGGGGATAAAAATGCATCCCAGTAGGCCTGCACTGGAAGCCAAGATGGACAAGACCTCCACAGCCACCATTATCTTGCCCTTGGTGCTGTGGTAGACAGGAAGGAAGGTGATCCAGATACCGCAAAACAGCATGCTGAAGGTCAGCAACTTGGCTTCATTGAATGTGTCAGGGAGATTCCTGGCTAAGAAAGCAACAATGAAGCTCCCTAATGCAAGGGAGCCATGGTATCCCAGGACACAGTAGAATGCAGTAACTGAGCCCTTGTTGCATACAATGATGATTTGGCCATGCTCAGAGTGCACATCTCTGTCAATAAAAGGAGGATAAAATTGCAGCCAGATTGTACAGAGAATAATTTGGATGAGCACACAGATGGCAATGATATAGTTGGGAACACCAGAAATCAGAAAATACCTCATCCTTGTTCCAGGAGTTGTGACTTTGAAAGCAAGCAGCACAGTCACTGTTTTGGCCAACACAGTGGAAACAGCCAGAGTAAATGAGCCGTATATGTTCCATATTTTGAACAAGATTCAAAATGCATGTACAATATGTTTTAACAAAATTAATCTCAAATTTGTATCAATATACAAAATTGGTATCAATATTCAAAATTTGGCTACAATATACAAAAATAAAACAAATGTGAAATATGAAAAACTAACAGACCATGTCTGAGAACTTTACATCTCCCTCTCTTGGGCTCAGACTAAAGGCATATAGCACTGGAATTAAGGGTATGCACCCCCTGATTTCTATATCAGCTAGTGTAGTGACTGGGATTAAATGTGCACATCACATTGTGGCTATTGGGGTTAAAGGTGTATGTTACCATAATGTGGTCTGTAAGGCTGACTGGTGGGACTGTTTTACTCTTAGATCTTCAGACAGTCTTTATTTATTAAAATACAATTGAAATGCCACTATAATGGTATAACAAGTTTTTTAAAATAAATTTGTTAATAATCAAAGAACAATAAGAATCAACTTAGGAAAGCATTATATCTTATTTCTTCAATAGTCTTTTGGTCCATTGATCAACTCAGTATGACTGAGAGATGATGAGCTATCTGAAGTGAAGGATTTATCTCATTAGCAAACACTCACTTGTCTCATTAGAAACTTCATTTTGTGGGCAGGGGCTGCAATCAAAACAGCAGGCTGCCATTCCCTCCTGCCAGAATTTTCTGAATCCAGGACCACAATCAGCACTGCACACAGAGGGCAGTATCTGTGAAAAATCAGATACATGCTGGTGTCGGGAGTTTTACCTACTTCTATAAATATATTTCATTATCATGTTGATATACCAATTAGCTAGTTTTATATACACCAAAAGAGTTATCAGATTAAGCTTAATACATTTTATAATACAAGGCATTCAAATGTATGGAAACAAACTAATGTAAATTTGAGTCGCTTCCCTTATCTAGAAATTTAGGAGGGAGAATTATTTTTGGTATGAACAAATACTGTAGAGCTTTCAAAGTGGTTTTTCTACTTAATTTTCATCACAGTGACACAAAGTACATTAATAAGTCAGAGGGAACCTTAACTATAATATTTTTCTCTATTGAATTAGCATGCTGTCAAATTATTTAAGCATTTTAATAATCGGTAGTTGATATAGGACTACCCAGCCCACTGTGTGCAATGCTGTCCCTAGTCAGGGCTGTGTGAGAATTCTGAGTAAACCAGTAAGCTATGTTCCTTCAGATTCTGTGATTTAGAAGTGTCTCCTCACACCTGCCTGCCTTGTCATTTCTTTGCTGTAATTCATGATCCCAATCAAACCTTCTCCTCTATAAGATTTTGGTCAATATTTAATCACAGCAACGTCACAGAAAACAAAGATGAACAGATATCTGAAATAGAGGGAATGTCTCATAAAATGTCAGATAGCACACATGAACTCTAAAAACAGCACTGCAAAGCCTGACATATCATAAAGAAAAACACAGGTAAATAGTCAGAGTGAGAAAGGGCATAACGGATACCTATTGAGCTGGAAAGAATGGTGTTTCCTGAGGCGTAAAGCTTTACAAATCCTCCACATATTTGAGGAACCTGACTAAAACTTTGATTTGAATTATTTGTTCTCTTTATGAATAATTTCTTGAGATTTTTATATTTGGGAGACCAGATCTTTGTCTGATGTGTGGTTAGTAAAGTTTGTTTCTCCCCATTCTGTAGGCTGTTTTATATTATTGACAGTGTTCTTTGCTTTACAGAAGCTATACAGGGTCAGGCGGTCACATTTATTAATTTTTTCTCTTAGTGTCTGTGCTGCTGGGGTTATATTTAGGACGTGGTCTCCATTGCCAATGCGTTCAAATGTACTTTTCACTTTCTCTTCTATAAAGTTAGGTGTGGCCTGCTTTGTGATGAGAGTCCATCTTACAACTGTAAGAATGGCAAAGATCAAAAACACTGATGACTACTTATGCTGGAGAGGTGTGGGGTAAAGGGAGCACTTTTGAATTGCTGGTGGGAATGCAAGATCGTACAACCCATTAGGAAGCCAGTATGATGATTTCTCAGAAAAGTAGGAAATAAAACCTTCCCTAAATCCCAGTAATACCACTTTGGGGTATTTATCCAAAGATGTTTATTGTGCCACAAGGACATATCATCAACTATGTCCATAGCAGCATTATTTGTCATACCAGAACCTGGAAACAGCCTAAATGCCCCTTACCAAAAATGGATTTTAAAAAAGTGTTAATTTACACACTGCAGTACTACACAGCAGAAAAAGATAATGACATCTTAAAATTTTCAGGAAAATGGATGGAGCTAGGAAACATCATTTTGAGTGAGGTAACCCAGACACAGAAAAACGGTTCTGTACTCCCTCAGAAGTGGTTTTTAAACAAGAAGCTAAGAAAATAGCTTACAAGCCACAATCCCAGAGACCTTAGACAACAATGAGGATGGTAGGAGAGACATACATAGATCTAATCTACACAAGAAGTAGAAAAAGACAATATCTCCTGAGTAAATTGAAAGCATGGGTACTTTTGGGGGGAGGGATGAATGGGAGAGGAAGAGCAGAAAGGGGAGCAGAGAAACATGTAGAGCTCAATAAAAATCAATAAAAACATAGCACAGTAGTAACAGTCATTACACATTATATATTAGAGGAAAAGAATGATATTGTGGAATGATAAATATTCATTGTATGCATTTCTGAAATTCTTAAAGTACTAATAAATTGTCACATCAAAAATATATCAAAAATCATAGAATAGAAGGAATGTAAATGCTTTGTAAAGTGACTAATTATTTTTAGTTCATTATAAGACAGCACAAATCAATCCCATTGTCTGTGTTACTGCTGTGTAATGCAAAAGAATGCAGTTAAATCAGACCCACCTGTCTACTTCCTGTTGCATGCTCTATCATGTCTTCATATATATGCAGCTGTTGATCATATGGAAAATATGAGCTAAACTCGCCTATTTTCACCTTAAGTCCAAGACCATATGGGAAATTCCAAATATGAAAAATGTCATACTCTTCCTGAAGATTTTCTTTCTGGTTCATAATCATTCTGTCTCCAACTGGATTAGTGAAGTGTGTTTTCCTCAGAAAGGAGTGCAGCTGAAAAAGATTCACCATTCGATAGTGTGTGTGTCCTTTCTCAAATTCATAAAATGTATTTTATTTCATCTTAAAGGCAGTATTATTGAAGGTGTCTAGAGGGGAAATAACAGTAAATCATGTGGACAAATAAAGTTATCATATTGTTCCTAGAATTTAAGTTCTTTCAGAAAAAAGCACCAAACAGAATCACAGACATATACGCAGATACAAAACACCAATATGAAAACACACACACACCATAAGAAAGAGAGACGGAGACATACAGTCAGAGATTCACTTCCATATAGACATACATAATGCATCTACATACATTTCATACAGACATACACACAAATGCCAACACTTACACATGAAAACAATGATACACACAGTGAAACATATGCACCAAAACAGACACACAAAAACAGAAAGCTGTGAAACACATAAACAGGGCCACAAATACATGCACAAATTAAATTACAAATACACACAAGGAGACACTCACAGACAAAAACACCTCCATAGAGAGTTATTGATATTGATGGATTTATGCTCATATACAAAGATAGATTGAGAGAAACAGACAGACAGACAAACAAAAACAAAGATATACATATGTTCAAGCAATATACACAATGAACCCAACACATATAAACATGCACTGAAGAAACAGAGAAGTTATGCACAGAAACAAATTCCCATACAGAAAGACATTGGTACAAAAGAAATTTATTTTCAGTTCCTCAAACAGATAGATATGTGGATGTACAGAACCACACACACACACACATACACACACATTCACACACACACACACACACACACACATATACCCACTAACACAGATACAATAAGAGATACCTGGAAACACAAAAACGTGAAACCATATACAAGGAGAACCAGGCATTCATACTTATGTACACAAATGTATGTCTTAACTGAAGAATGACACTGTTTACTGTGTAATTACTTTCACTCAGGATGAGAAATGAGGTCCCAAGTGCCTACAGTGTGAGCAGATTCAGTTTAGAACACTAGTGAAAATCATTTCATAAACGGATTATCACATATTTGAAAATAAATATGCAAGGATTCATCTTCTCATTAGGAAGAGGGTTAAGAAGAAAGGACTTGGGCTTACAGTTTTAGAATAGCTGTGGTGATAGTCAGGTACTCTGTAACAAAATCAGTGTATTTTTTACAAATTGTACCTTCAACACCATTAAGATTTATACCAGCATCCATATTTACATTATTAAGAAGAAAAATTTCCATAAATCTTTATATTGTATGAAATATTCCCTAATTTAGTAAATTGGGACATTTGACAGACATTTAAAGACATTGACATTGATGACATCAAATTTGATATTAAAGAGGAAACACTACTTTCAAGCAGTGAGCAAAATGTCCTTTTCCATTATCCATGGGTTGATTATATACATGCTGAAGAAGCATTTCCTGGAGGCCATGGGCCACAGCATACACCGCATTATATATGTCATAACTCTCATCACTAAAGGCCATGTCAAAAGTTTGTGCTTTTAGCCATTGCAATGAGGCATTGGATAAGCAGTTCTTCAGGGTCTGACACATAGAAGCTGAGACTTTGCAGTTGAAGTTCATCCACTCCAGCCTGGCCAGGAATTCTTCTGTGTATTTGAGAGGGTTCAGTGTCTGGACAAATGTTTTAAAATGAGAAACCTCAGCATGATAATGTGCAAAGGTTATTTTCCCATTGAATGAATTACGTGGGATGTCATTCTTAGTTGTAGTGCCATCCCACTGTGAGGTGGTGACCCATATTCTCTGTAAACCTAGAGATCGCCACCTTCTAAAGGCCACAGCTAGAGAACTCTCTGGGTCTCCATAAATGATAACCACATTTGTGGATGATGTCACTATTTGGTTTAATAAACTTCAACTCTTGTCAAGAATAAATGCATCTCGACTGGGATCCCACTCACAAAAGCAAAGCAGACTGTAATTTTTTCCATCTCTCCTCTTAATTGTGTGAGAAATTGAGTACCCTGATCATTGTCTGAGATGGCCAGTCCAATCCAGTTCCAGTTGAAGTAAAGCATCAAAGATATCATGGCCAGGGCTAAAGATGTGTCCTTGGCAGCCATCTGATACAGAAAGGGAAATTGTTCACAATTGCTCAGGATGGGATGGAAAGGTCCATAGGTAATCTGCAGGACCTACAACACAGGGAGCAGCATGAGGTAGCACATGTACATAAGAACTTGTAAACTTACTTTAGGTGTAGACTTCCTTAAAAAAACTCCTTATCTGTTACTTCTTCCCTCATCTCAATTTCAAAAAAGGAAATGAGGCCCCGTCACAAATGAAGAAAATTGTGAACGACACCGTTTAACACAAATTTGACAGTAGTATCCTACTTAGAATCTTCTTAGCAACTAGGATTATAAGAGCAGAGTTAGAATTTCTTGCAAAGTCACAACAAAAATCTCACCTGTTGAGGTACGATGGGGTTGAACATAGTCCCAACCATCACAGATGTTGCCAAATTTGGTCCTGTAAGCACCACGAGACACATAGTCTGTTCATAACAGATATAATTAGGGGGCAAATCACGAACTTTTTCAGACAAGTGAAAGTGACTATATAATTTTGTCCCAGTTGCACAACCACCCTCTGGACATTCAAATACAAGTGATGAATTTGGTAGAAGATCAGGGTTCCTGTTGACTTCATCCATGGAAAAAGCTAAGGCCAGTATAAACTGGAAGTTTTTAGTTGTTGTTCTGTAAGAGGGTATGGTGATTAATATGGACAGAGATCTACAGATGATCCTGAGTAGTCAACAGATATATTATTATGAGCTGTACCATATTCTAAACCACTGCCAATAATGTTACAAATGGTCTATGCTGTGAGATTAGAATAATATAAGTAGCTGGAAGCTCGTGAAAAGCTTTAAAAGTTCATTAGAGTGTATCTTCCACAAATAAAGTGAGGCATCAACACCTTTCAAAGAGTGTGATTTCAAGTTCTTATTTTAAAATGCTTACTCTAAAAATACAGACAATGGCGGAGGCTTTAACCAAACAATAAACCTATTCATATATTCATTTTTAAATCATTGATCAATGTGAAAAATTCAAGAGACGCAGGGCCGCGGTGGCGCATGCCTTTAATCCCAGCACTCGGGAGGCAGAGGCAGGCGGATCTCTGTGAGTTCGAGGCCAGTCTGGTCTACAAGAGCTAGTTCCAGGACAGGAACCAAAAGCTCCAGAGAAACCCTGTCTCGAAAATCAAACAAAAACAAAAACAAAAACAAAAGGAATTTTGTAATGACCCTTCTGTTTCTATATTGTGGAATACATTAAGGAGTATAGGTATTAGGTCTTCTTGGAAGTTCTGGTAGAATTCTGCATTGAAACCATCTGGTCCTGGACTTTTTATGGTAGGGAGGTTTTTGAAAACAGCTTCTAATTCTTCGCGACTAACAGGTCTGTTTATATTTAAGACAATTTAATTGCAGTTTGTTTAATTAATTGGGGGTATGCTCTATGTGTGGTGAGTGACAATTCTATATTCTTCAATTATGTTTTAAATAAACGCTGATTGGCCAGGAGCCAGGTAGGAAGTATAGGCAGGACAACCAGAAAGGAAGTACAGGCAGGTCAATGGGAGCAGGAGAATTCTGGGAAGGAGGAAGTCCATTCCTCCCCAGTCCTGTCCAGACACCAAAGAAGGAAGATGTGACCTACCCCACTGAAAAAGGTACCGAGCCATGTGGTTAACATATACTAGAATTAATGGGCTAATATAAGTTATAAGAGTTAATAAGAAGCCTTAGCTAATGATACAATCATTTCATAACTTATGGAGACCTCTGTGTAATTTCTTTTGGGTCTTACCGGCTTTGGGACCTTGTGGGAGGACAGAAACCCCAACAAGCAGGCCCTCATGTTACATATGTGTAGGTGCATAGAGATCAGAACACAATCTCAATGAGTAGGCAACCACTTCCTACCACATGAGTCCAGGTATGAGCTCATCTTTAATTTTAGTAGCAAGGGATTTAACTTGTGAATCATCTTACCACACATAAATGTCCTTTATAAACTTTCATTATATAGGATGACAGGCAACACGGAAGTAAACTATCTATCTAACTATCTATCTGTCATTTTTATGTAAGCATCTCTAAACACTCAGTTGACTGATATGAGCTGTATAGGAGACAGGAATACTTGCATAATTGTGGCTAGTTGCTTTCACAGGAAATGAATTAAATTCTCTAACCTTTGACATTACTAACTGTGTGCTGTATGTAAAAATGATGATTGTAAGACTCCATATTTTCTACATTATGTGCTAACACTGATTACACTTCACTAGATAGTAAATCACATTGATCTTTGGAAAAGGAATCGTTGAATATTGCTTGAAGTCTTCAGTCTAATAATTAATGGTCATTGAAAAATTTACAAGTAGTGATTTTTCCTCCTTATTAATCTTATAGAGTACTTGAATTTGGTTCCCAAGATGCACATAATAGAGTATAATTACTCTGATGACCTAGTCTCTTCTCTATTGATTTCTGTAAATATATGGTGGCTATAAACTTATAGAGTGACATATAGAGACATGATAATTGAAAGAAAATAAATATTATTGAAGATTAAGGACTGGAATAAAATCTATATGTAGTTTCAGAGGATATTAATTACTATTAACAACATTGTGTAGAATTTGTTCACACTGTTGTATGAGTGTCAAAACTTTTTTGAGAAATGGCTAGCTAATATAGACTTTCAATGAATCAAAGAAGTATGTCATGGTATGAAGTATGATTAATAAAAACACAGGGTCAGAAATTGGGTTCAACCTGAAGATCTGAAAAACAAAACTGCAGTCACTGACTCTTACCTCAACCTCAGTCTGAAATGGCTATCCTGCCTCCTGGAATCTCAAAAGAGACTTTATCTGAGAGCTGTCACCCACCATTTTATATTCCCCTCTAGGGCTGGGATTGAAGGCATGCACCACTGGGATAAAGGCATGCACCACCCAGTTTCTATATTAACTAGGGTGGCTACTAGGATTAAAGGTGTTTGTTACCACAGGCTTGTCTGTAAGGCTGACCAGTGGGTCTGCTCTACTCTCAGATCTTCAGGCAGTATATATTTATTAAACTATAATTGAAATGCCTCTACATTTCTCTTTTATGTCAAAAAATAATAAAAAGAAGGCTATTGTTAATATAAGAAAACTATATACAATAAGTACAAATGTTTTAAACAAAAAAAAATCCATAATCCATTTGGGGGAATTGGGGCATAGTTTTCTGTGCTACATCTTGTTGATTGGGTTGCTAATAATCTTTTGGTTACCAGAAAAAATTTTATGATTACGGCCATGTACTTATTGGATCATGGCAGCCAGAAGTCTTAAAGCTGTTCTGGATGTAGAACTCAGAGGAAACTGCAACAAATGTACTCTGAAACATTGGATCATCTGAGTCATCTGTTTCCACTGGAGATTTTTCAGGTAATCTTTCCTGGTCAAACCTTATTTCTCTTAACCCGTATGAATCCACAACCTCTCACTTTCTTTGGAAATAAAAGTAAAACCTCTTCTCCAAAGTAACATATCTTTTGACTTAAATTTTGAAGTCAAGGCATTTTCAAAATATATAGGTTGGATCAATCCAGCATCATCAATAATCAAATGTCTTTTGGCAGGTGTTGCTCCTTCCTCAGAAATCAAACAATTCAAAGAAACCACAATAGCACATATACCCAGATTCTCTGTGTATTTTGGATCTTTACATGGAAGCTAATACAGGAAAGATGGGAGCTTGGATCTCTAGTTTTTCTTCTGAACCAGGTGGCTAGATTTGGGTCCAGCTCTTAGAACTGGAATTCCAATCGATCAGTGTCCTGGACTGCTGTATAAAAATTATCAAGCAAACATCATTTTCATGAATTTATATCCCCAAAAAGTTGGGTGCCAAATGAAGCATGATTAAGAAAAACTCAGGGTCAGAAATTGGGGTTCAACCTGAAGATCTGAAAAGCAAAGCAGTCAGCCACTGGGTCTTTCCTCAACCTCACTCCAAAATGGCTATCCTGTCTTGCAGACTTTCAAAAAGAACTATGTTTGAGAATTGTCTTTCCCCATCTTATATTCCTCTCTAGGGCAGAGACTAAAGGCATGTATCACTGGGATTAAAGATACGCATCAGCCGATTTCTTTATTAACTAGGGTAGTTACCGGGATTAAATATGCCTGTCATTGTGGCTATTGGGATTAAAGGTGCATGTTGCCATAATGTGTCTGCAAGGCAGACCAGTGGGACTGTTTTACTCTTAGATCTTCAGGTACTCTTTATTTATTAAAATGCAATCGAAATGCTACTACAATGGTATAACAAGTTACTTATAGTTAACTATGATTTGTTAATAAATCATAGTTCTATAAAACTAACTTAGGAAAGTGATATATTTTATTTCTTCAGTTGTCTTTTGGTCCATTGATCAACTCAGTATGACTGAGAGAAGATGATCTATGTGATGTGAAGGATTTATCTCAGCAGCAAACACTCGCTTGTCTCATTAGAAACTTCATTTTGTGGGCAGGGGCTGCAATCAAAACAGCAGGCTGCCATTCCCTCCTGTAAGAATTTTCTGAATCCAGGACCACAGTCTACACATTACACAGAGGACGGCATCTGTGCAAAATCAGATATGCTGGTGTTAGGTGTTTTACCTTCTCTCTATGATTCTACTTTATTATTATGTTTAAATACCCATAAACTGATTTTATATACACCAAAGTGGTGATCAGATTAAACTTAATATATTTTATAATACCAGGCATACAAATGTATGGAAACAAACTGATATAAATTTGAGTAGATTCCCAAACATAGAAATTAAGGAGGAAGAATTAGTTGTTTGATATGAACAAACACTATAGAACTTGCAACGTGGTTTTTCTACATAATTTTCATCATCTTGACACAAAATACATTAATAAGTTAGAGGAAACCTTAAGTGAAATGTTTCTTTCCATTGAATTAGCCTGTTGTCAAATTATTTAAGCATTTTATTAATGGATAATTGATGTAAGACTGCCCTGCCCTCTGTGGGCAGTGCTGTCCCTACTCAGATCTGCATGAGAATTCAGAGAAAGTCAGTTAGCTATGTTCCTTCAGGGTCTACAATTTAGTTGCAGTCTCCATATACCTGCCTGCCTTGTCATTTCTTTGCCATTCATGAGCCCAATCAAATCTCCCCTTAATATGATTTTGGTCAGTATTTAATCATAGCAACATCATAGAAACTAAGATGAATGGACATCTGAAACAGGGGAATATCTCTTTAAATTTCAGATGGCACACATGAACTCCAAAAACAGCACTGCAAAGCATGACATAGTGTAAAGAGAAAAAAATACAGCTAAATAGGGAGAGTGAGCTTAATAGATATGCATTGAGCTGTAAGAAATGGTGTTTTCTAAGGTGTAAATGATTAAAAGGCTGCAAATATTTAGGGAGCCTGAATAAAAGTTTGATTTTGTAAAAATTTCATTGAAGTGTTTTTTAAAGTTTAAAATAAAAAAGCTTTGTGTAACCAAAAAACTCTCAATTGGGACCTATACACAGTTTTAGACATCTCTGATTGTTGTGTGCTCACTCTGCATCCTCTGTTCAGAACTGAGCTATGTGTCAACACCACAGTTTCCCCTCTGCATTAGTTCTTTCATGTTCTCCACAAGATGATTTACTACA